GTATTTACGTAATGCAAAACTGACTGATAGCGGACTACACAAGTATCTACCTAAATAAAAACAAAAAGACAGCTTCCCTAAAGTATAAAATTAATATCTGTATCAATTTAAGCATCAACTAAAAACTGAAAAATAAGATTTTAAATCTTTGATTTCAAATCTTTTATTCCTCGGGACCTAAGTATTGTAAAAATAAGGCTGTCACAGTGAATTGTTCTTGATTGTTCTGTACAATCTTTAGCCTTACAATAAGTAGAAACTTAACGATATTAACCAATTCATTGATTCCGCAATTGTTCCCCTAAAGAAACTAAGCGTACCTATACCTAACTAAATTACATTTTTATAATAATGATCGTAAGACATACTAAATTAACTAAAAATCGCGGGTTACTCACATAAAAAATACTGAGAAAAAGCTCTACTAGTTTCGAACTACAAGGGGGTTCTTACTCATGAGTAGCGTGCGCAGTCGCGGAGACGTCGCGCAGCCTTTTTTTTTTTTGAGGGGGGAAAATCATCATCTTCATGACTTGACCGCCCGGGTGAGGCGGGAGGGAATGTCAGACTCTTACTGACTAAAAACCACCCCGTTCCTTCTCTTGCACTTCGAGCCGTTAAGTCTTCCGCGGCGCGTCGGACGTCAGTCAGTAAATTATATCTGCAGTAATGGGAGAGATTAAAGTCTGCCTGCAATCTCTTCACCAGATGTCAATAAGCAAAGAATTTTGTATTAAGTATTTTGTGCTGATAGCCTGAAGCCTGAGACTGTTACAAGCACTCTGTCTCTACAAAATTAGCATTGAGACCAACTGTCCATTGTCCTGGATCTAGATCATAGCATGAAGAAACTCATTTCATGCACTCTTGTGTATCCCATCTATTCACGAGAACTGGTTGATGTTCCGCGTTAAACTAACAGCAATTAAGTATTAATGACGTCAATCAGGGTCAGCATAGATAGTAGACAGGTTCGTAGCAGAACGGAATATATTTTATGTATTGACTGAGTTACCAATACAGAAAATATCCAGTTTTATGATAAGCATCAGTTTACTCTACATAGGATAGAATAAAGTGTACAAAACTCAAACTCAAAACACATACACCTCCGTGTCAACTGTAAAACATCCACTTTTCTCAAAAATCTCCAGAACCGCTTGACAAAACTTTATTATAATTAAAAACTCTTTATCTCGTCTTGTTCCGATAAGTGCAGATGTAAAAGCAAAATAAACATGTTTCAGTTTAACTAATAATTATTTTATACACTACGTTTAAAAAAGCGTCAACCACCTCTTGAGGATGGATTTAGGTATAGTACAACCTTCTCTTAAGTGTAACAAACACTTTTCTATAAACCGCAACAAAATCGGTTCAGCCAATCATGAGATAATTGCGCACAGACATACAAACATAGCTACAAACATGCATACAAGGTCGGTCGGAAGTCGGTTAAATATAGGTAAAAGTGTATGTATATAAGAACCTTACTCACTTTAATTTTTGACATTAATGTTTCTTGAAATTATGCAAACAACAGAAACTATGTACCTAGACTCTGCTTAGATAGAGATAAGACGATTTACCTATATTTTTTTAAGAGGGGAAAATCATCGAATTTCTTCTCCCGCCTGGCTGAGGCGCGAGGGAGTGTCAGACTCTTACTGACTAAAAACCACCTCGTTACTTCTCCTGCACATCGAACCGGAGCCACGGTAACCCGTTAGGTTCTCCGCGACCCCGAGTATATAAGATCCTTATCACATTAATGTTTGACATTCATGTTTCTTGAAGTTATGCTAACAACAGCTTATGTAGAAACTATGCACCTAGACTCTGCTTAGATAGAGATAAGACGATGTACCTAGGTATATTAGGTGGAACAAAAATGGGTTATTATGCAAATCGCGACCTTCTCATCAACATAACTGAAGCAAAAGTAATTCAATTTGAAACTTACTCCCAGATTATGCAAAGGCGTTAAACCGTGAATAAAATATTTTAAAGCACCCCACACTACCGCCCCCTACGACAATCTGTGACAATCATTGAACCTGTATACCTCCGGTGGCCTGTGAGGTATAATAATTCCTCGGAGGGTGCACGTGAGGATCAGGTGAGGGTGACAAATTAGCCATTGTAAATGAGCGGCGCCGGGTGATCTCTCCTTGTACTATGACACCCCGTTGATTGGGCTGACGAGCGAGGGCACATGTCGCATTGTTATCAATACTCGCATAACGTGTTTAATTGGTAAAGCTATGTACTATGTAGGAATTTAAGTTATAACAATAAATTAAATCAAGCCTTGTGTAATTATGTAATCATAATACGATGATTTTAAAGGTTAATTGCATTTTATTATTTATATTGGTCGTTTTATTGTCTCAACGGCATACTCTCTAGGTATTACTTACCTAATTTCATAGGTAATATCATACAGGTTCAGATCAAAGTCAAAGCGTTTAGTGCAACTAATGATGTACTAGTGTTCAGATGATGAGTTTCAGGAAAACTTACCTAAATATTCCTTTCGTTAGACACGGAAGGAATTGTTCAATGGAGGCTGTAATTATGTTCTCGTAGTCTTTAAATAAACCTCAAAATAAAACCGATATCAAATTCTTTTTAATTTTATTGTCAGATGATTTGGACCAAGCTACAATTCATCGTCAAGTCGCAAAAGATCGACTGACACGAAGGTTTAAATAATTTCGGATAGTATTCGTTTCTCAGTAACTTAACAATTCGTATTATCGCTTACTACCAGGCGAGATAGTGATCAAACGTCGGCCCATCAAATATTAAAAAAAAAACTGAATTAAAACAGTGACGCTGAAATATTCAAACGCTACTCAACATTAGGTCTGGCCTAGGGCTTGTACTCAAAACTGCGATGCGACGCCGCATCGTAAATATTTACGAACTCCGCTGAATACGCATCGCAAGCACTTGTGAATTGATTCGTATCGCGCATCAAAATCTTATCTTCTAAAAATTTCTTTGTTTCTTTTCCTTTGTATACTTACCTACTAACAGAAATGTATACTTCTTTTTACGATCCATGTCACGACCTAGTTTTCTATTTAAAATACGTTTAGTATCTACGGTTGACGATCGTCATAGGAATGGTCACCCTGGGAGACGCCTTGTTACGTATTCGCATCGCATCGCAGTTTTGTGTACGAGCCCTTAGGTTATAGTTCTGTCACAACAAATTCTTTGTAAAATGACAGAGTCGGCACGATATTTAAGTCCAACTTAAAATTTAGTAGCCCTTCAGTAATCGGCGCAAGGAACACTATTTATGAAGTATATGGCAGTAAGTATAATAATCCCATCCCAACAATCCCTTGTCGACATAGATCGCTGCGAGTTTGGCGCAAATATTTGCGGGTAATAATTGCCGTGGGCCCGGGTTCGACTCCCGGGCGATGTTGACACGGAGGGTGTGAGCGTCACGCTCCTCGAAACATGTCATTACTCCAAATAATTGAAATGTGGTTTTATGAATTGTTTTATTTCAATCCCGCGGTTTAACTAATATTTGTATGCCTGGAATGCATATAAAAAGGGGATACAGTGTAGATTTGTATAAAATGCTGGCTAAGTACTGTGATTTGTGTCTGTAATAGCCTAGGTAACCTAGGAGTGGAGCTATTTGTCAGAGTCTGTGTTTCCTGAAGGGTACAACCTAAGTGCCTTCAAGGCCCGAATGAATAGGTTGCTTATGGGCAGACGTGGTCCATCGCAGGCCGCATCGTCCTTTGCCATCAGGCGAGATGGTCAAGCAGCTACCCATTACCAATAACCTAGATCCGTGGAGAAGGTTTTTGGTATTTAATAATAATGTAAAAAACTGTTACACGATTAACAATCGTAAAAAGCTATTCATTGTTTTTAGCAGCGTACTCTGTATTAGATATTTCTACTTACTTAAGAATTTGGAATTAGGAAGATTAAGAGAAATAATCAACTAAACATCCTACTGATTTTTTT